CGTTTAAGTTGGCTGGCAGGAGAAACTTTCCCTAGGAGGGCGGCAGGTTACCCGCGGAGGTGTTTTAAGCCCCGGCCGGGACGACGGAGCCAGGGCTGGTCCCGCTTGGAGCAGGGGTCGGACTCGCGAGCCCCCTGCCCGCCCTCATCCTCTGTCCTAAGAAAGCAGCTGCGCCTTCCCCGGAGCTGGCAGGGAGAAGAGGGCTGCTCTCCCTAAAGCACTTCATTCACCAGCAGCCGCAGCTCTCACACGTGCACATTTAACCACGACGGGTCGATGGTCCGCACAGCACCGCTGCCTCTTCGCTTCCCTTCACCCGAGACCCGCCGCCCCGTGGCCAGTGCGGTCTCTGGCTTCGGGGACGCCTGTCTGGGAGGAAAGCCAAGCAAGGCTATGGACAGCTCTGGACACCACCCCACGCCCACAGCACTCAAAGCATCGAGAGATGAGAAGGCCACAGTGAATTATGTACAGACTTTATTCACAGGGAAGAGCTGCACGGGCACATCACATTTAAACATAAGCGTGCAAGAGTGTGTGCTTTCCTCTGCAGCACTACAGGAGGGAAGGGGGCAGGACTCACTGCAAGGAAAAGACCCACCCGATACAATTTCAGCTAAGAATGAAAGTAAGCTTTGGACAAAGAGAAAAACAACTACCAGGGACATGAGAAAAGGAACTGGGCACTGCCGGAGGGTGAGCTTTGGTGCTGGGCGTTCGTGCCCTCACATCACCCACAAAGTAAGGATAGTGGAAAGCACAAGCTTCTCTCCTGCACCAGCTGCCACTGACATAGGTGTGCCAAGCCAGACGTGCATGGCTGAAAGGACACAGCCTGCTCCTGTGACACCTCTTCCCCAACAGCTTGGTGGGAGCCACTCAGCCGTGACTGTTTGGTCCAAAATGCACTTCCCCTCCGATGAGCTCGGGGGACAGTCGGCGGCCGTCAGAAGTATACGTTCAGCCTCTGCTGTCCCCGGCTGGATCGAAACGCTCCACTGAGAGGAAGGTCTCGTTATCCGCAGCACCCAGACAGCAGCCGGCTCCTACAAGGTGAGCGCACTGGGGTGGACCCTGCTGCCCTCGTGTCCGAGCTGCCACCTCAGAAGACGCACGTGGGTCCACAAGTGTCCCGCTGAGCAATTCAGCCAGTTTTTCGGTGCACACCTAGGGCTAGGAAGAACATGCGGAGCCCTGAGCAGCCACTGCTGCCTGCCCAGAGGGGCCATTCCCTCTAGCAGCTTCTTGCTAGCTGGACAGCATCTTCCGTATCCGTTCACACGCCTCTCGGGGGCCCAGGGAGACCATCATCTCTGCAATGCTCGGCCCTTGCTGAAAACACACAGAAGAGTCACTGGGCTGGTGTTTCGCATGGGTACAAGCTGGTGCCTCGTGCCACACTGGAGACAGCCGAGTGACCAGCTGCCAGACTGCTACTAGAGTCAACACATTACTAGCAATAAAAGCAGAAGTTCCCCTTCTGGTTTCTGAAGAAAAATCCCCCTCATTACTCCAAGCTGAACCCCAGGGAGCTACACCGGGAAAGGAACCAGCTTTGTTTGGTGCCTGCTTAGGACAGAGGAAGAACCAGGACACGCACAAACCCTGTGGCTGCCAACACCCAGGTACCTGAGCCAGCTGCGTTTCTAACCAGTGTCCTGACTGCCAGGAGATACTTTGGTAGTTCTCACTTCTCTCTCACTTCCCCGTCACCTTCATGTCATCAAATTTAAAACCCCAATGGCAGCATCCTCAGGACCCAGGGGTAGGGGCTGTTTGGGGATGGGACGGTCCCAGCCCCAGATAGCTTTTACCTGCTGTCCACTGAGGGCCAAGCGGAGGATTTTCATCATGGTGCTGTATTTGGTCCCCTTGATCCTCTCCTGCAGGCCTTTCAAGTCTTGGCTCAAGCCCTCGGTGGTGAGAGCGGTGGCCTGCCCTTCCACCAGCCTGAGGGAGAGAGGTCCCATCAGCCAGGGGACACGGGGTGTGGGCAGCAGTCTCCCCAAAGGGGACTGTTGCATACAAGCCAAGTGCTGGGAGGGCTAGGATCTGAACAGGTAGTTACACAGGTCAATGCCAGGAGGGCTTGGCAGAGCGAGGGGAAGGAGGTCTTCACCCACGGTAGCGCATGGTGGTGCAGATCATGGCCGAAACGCAGTGGGATGAGCGCATATCAGACACATAACACAAGGGAGCCAGCACAGAGCAGCAGCTGGAGGGACTGTCCCCTGATGTCTGCACAGGAAGGACTGGGGAGCAGTGGGAGGAAACACCAGCAGCAACAGGACGGGCCCCTTGCAGGGACAGATCTCCAGAGGGGGCAGGGCCTTGGACAAGCACCGGATTCACACTGAAACATGCCGCTCGTTACACTGGTGTCCTGACCACATCACGGCCTTGCTGTCTGCCAGCAGAACAGTCTGGCACCTACCTACACAAGCCTTTCTGGTTTCTCTACTGGAGATGCTACCTCGGGTGACACGGGGCCGGGGGGCTGCGGGACAGCAGAACTAGCCATGGGCTGGGTGCTACAGAGGCACGGAACAGAAATGGTTCCTGCTTGCAGGTGTCAGGAAGGTCTTTTGATTGACGAGCTCTTGCAGCTTCTCTCAGCACGCTCATGACAGCATGGTTCAACGTGCACTTCTCTTCTCCCTGCCCCGGCAACATCAGCGCAGTCACCAGGCAGCTACCCCGGGGAGGGAGCCACTCACCCGAGAACCAGCCTCCCTATCTCATCCACTTCTGCTGACAAGGCTTGCAGCTGCTCTCGGGGCACAGAGGGCCTCACCCACAAGTAGGAGTAGCTGGGCGACACCAGGCTCTTCAGGAGGCTTATGCGGCCCTGGGAGACAGAATGGAGGGTGCTGTCAGGGAGAGGGAGAGAAAGAGAGCCTCTGCTCGTCCCTGGGTTTCACAGGCAGTGCCACAGCCTCCATACTCGTCACCTCACACTTGGTGTCCATGCAGGGAGCATGAAGCACTGGGCAGGGTCTTATACCCACGCTGGGCTGGTGCAGAGGAGGGTGCAAAGTACAGGGCAGGCTGGGCCTGACTCACACTGCCTCAGGGACAGCCCTGCAGGGAGCTGGCAGGCTGACTCAGTCGGGCCCCTGGATGTGGCTCACCACATTCATTTGTTGGCTCAGTGGAGAGACGGAGGCAGGAAATCACACGAGCAACGCGTGATCACTGTCACAGCAAAACTTCATGCTCCCAGCAGCCGGGGCGCCTCTGCCTCCGCGAAGGAGCTGGCGTCATTCGAGAGAACATGCAGCAGCACCCGAGCCCGGCAGAGCTGCCACAGGACACGAGTGAAGCAGGGGCCCCGACAAGCCACAGGGCTCACTGCTGTGTCAGCACCACCCCTGTGCCAGCCCTTGCTTTGCCACTTCCTCTTCCAGCTGGGCTCTGGATTCAGAAACCTGCTGATTTTCCTTTCTCCGGTTAGTCCCAAACACGCAGCCCTCCCCCACACTGCCCAGCCAACGAAACCCAGAGATAAAGAAGTGCCCAGGGCGTGGGCCCCTCTGTTGAGCCCACCACCTGATGCTTGTCAACCCAATGTGCTTATTCTGCAGGGGCACCGGGGACACGGCATATTCACACCTGCAGCTCAGGCGCACGCGGTCCCACCACGTTCTGGATACAAGTGCTGGGGGTGGCAACACCCGCCTTTCGCTGCTTGCAGCTGAATGGCAGCAAACCAGGAGCTTTGGAGCACAAGGCACAGCAGCCCAGCCAAGTCACAGAGCCCTGCCCTCCCACCTGCCATTCCTCCCCCTACAGAGGCTTGTCATACTTTCCACAGCAGCAGGACACGCTCCACATAGTCCTTCTCTAGAACCTGTCTGTCCACGAGCTGTTCCCCATAAGCCTGCTCCACCAGGGCCTGCAGCTCTCCCACCACCTTGGGTCGTAGCCTCTCGTCCTCAATGCGCCGGACCAGGTGAGTCCTGCGGAGAAGACAGGACCCTTGGTTACGCTCAAATGACCGGCCACACTCGCCCCACACTTGCAATAAAATCTGTGGAATCCCTTGGAACGTGGATGTGGCAGCGAGGAGAAACAGCAAAGCAGCACCCCAGGAGAAGCAGCCTTGGTGGGACGCGTGGTGCTTCAAAGAGAAACCTTTAAAAAGCTGTGGTTAACAAAGCAGATTTTCACACAGACTTCTCATTCAGCGGTAGCAATGCAGCCTCAAGGTCCTCAGGCCACGCTCGCTGCTCTAGCCCTATCCAAACATCCAGCACGCGAACGCTGCTGTGGTTTAGACTGATGCAATCTTGAACAGGCCTCAACGGGCAACCCCTTCTCTGCCAGGTGAACCTCAGGGCTCTGTTAGATCAGGGGAGTGTGGAGGGGGCACGTGTTAGTTTCATAGTTGGTCGGGTTGGAAGGGACCTGGGCAGATCATCAAGTCTGACCCCCTGCCCTGGGCAGAAATGAATGCTGGGATCAAATGACCCCTTAAGCCTCCATGGGGTCTGACAGGCAGGATGCTGGCAGGGGCTGCTGGAACCCTCTCTGAGCAGGGGAGAAGCAGGAAGCTCATAGGACCACAGCAAGGAGGCCACACCTGGAGAAGCGGGCTAAACAAGGCAGGTGGAGTCCTTGGGCGGGGGGAGAACTGCAGAGGAACAAGGTCGTGGTTGTAAAGGCACTGCCGAGCTGCCCACCTGTTGAACTCCGGGAGCTTGTCCAGGTCCAGCAGGGCGGAGTGGGTTGTTATCCGGCCCACGTTGAACTCCGAGATCAACTGCTCCAGCGTCCGCCCCCCCTGGTTACCTGCAAAATGACCCAATGAGGGGGGTTATGTGCAAGGTGCCTCTGACAGAGAACGGGCATCACTGCTACTCATCGCTAGCCTTGAGCCAGGAACAAGGGTTGCCCTGCAGCCAGCAGCATCTTGTGGGAAATCATCTCCAGGGCCCACTGCTCTGTGCCGAGACGGCCAGGAACTCAGTCAACTAGGCAGCAGACTCCATTTCAATGGCACCAAAACCCAGACCCCATCACCACTCTAATCCATCATCTATCCCCACTAGAGGAGGCTTCAGAACAGGTAGCAGCAATTTACCTGCAAAGGCCCTTTCAGGCCAGCTGATGAGATCCCCTGCCCTGACTTCCTCCAAACAGACCTAGGAGCTCTGTAGCATTACCAGACCAGATCCTTTCCAGGCACGTAACCAGCCCCTGAGGCAGCCCCCACTGCCCAGACAGAGCCCAGTCTGCACCTGGTACCTGTAAACCCAGAGCCGCAGGTGGTTATAATGTCCAGCAGCGCTTCTGGCAAGTAGCCGTCTTGAGCAAAACGTTCCACGAAGATGTCACCCTGCCGTTTGGACAGCTTGGTGCCGTCTCTGTTCAGGAGCAGCGGGAGATGGGCGAACTGGGGGGGGTCCCAGCCAAAGGCTCTGTAGAGAAGGAGGTGCTTGGACGTCGAAGTCAGCCACTCCGTCCCACGCAGAACGTGGCTGATTTCCATGTGATGGTCATCCACCACATTCGCCAGGTGGTAGGTGGGGAAGCCGTCCCCCTTTAGGATCACCGGGTCCCCTTCGACGCTGGCCACTTCGTGTCTGGTCCACCCATAAACCAGGTCATTAAAGGGCTCCACATCTCCCTCCAGTCGGAAGCGGATCACCCACTCGGAGCCTTGCGACAGCTTCTCAGCTACTTGTTTAGCGGTCAGGTGTCGGCACCTGTTGTCGTACCTGGGACAGGATGGCAGCGGTCTGAGGTCAGTACGCCGGGCAAGAGGCCCCTTTCCTCACGAGCCTCATATAGATTTCAGCTCTAGCTTGGACCCCGAGTTCTAACCTTGACTCTTTCGATCATTTGTTCTGTGGCCTTGGTCAAATCACTTTACCTCTGTATTTCAATCCCCCGATACACCACTGGAGGATAACGCTTATCTACATCCCTGTCTCGTGAAGGGCTGGGAAGCTGCATCACTCAACATCTGCACTGCTCTTTAGAGAAAGACCATGGCACGTAAACAGCAAGAGCTGCCATTCAGGCTGGGGATCTGCACTTCCCCTTCAATAACGAGATGCACTGGGAGCTAAAATCCAACTGACTGCGATTTTAGTGACCTAAAGTTTGGCATCTGGAGTCACAAGCTGCCAGACTTCATCACGAGTTCTGCAAATACACAACCTAGGAGAGGAGCACCCCCAGGTCACGGCGAAAGCTCCCTACCGTGGCACCTGCCGACTGCGCAGTGCTTCCTTTTTCAGCAGCTCCAGGCGCTGGGGAGTGCAAAAGCAGCGGTAAGCTGCTCCCTTCTCCACAAGGACGTCACAGGCTTTCGTGTACAGCTCAAGCCTGCGAGACTGCTGGTAGGGCCCAGCGGGGCCACCTCGGCGCGGGCTCTCATCAGGCGGGATACCTGGAACGCCAGAGGAAATGGGATTCAACAAGTAAAATCTGGAACACGAAAGCGTTAAACGGGTGCAGAGAGCCACAGCTCTCGGGCAGCAGATAACCGTCCACTCCCAGCACAGGATCTACAGCGCGATCGAGAGCGTTACAGCGTCGCCTCTTTCAGATCTGCCGTTCCCAGCAGCCGAGATGGGTGCGCACTGACGGGCGCTTTAGCAGACCTGATGCATCTCTGCTGGCCGAGCGCAGCGCACGGAAGCGGCCACAGGACGCTCCCACCTTTCTTAGTCCGTCACAGTAACGACCTTCCACTAAATACCACGGAGGCTTCAGAGCTTGTCATTTTATCGACCGCCGGGCTTTTTTACGTGACGGCAAGAGCGCTCTTTGCGACACGTCTCGGCGGGCAAGCGAAACGCGCAGAGCTGGAAGTTACCTGCCCACTCCAGCATGTCTTCGATACCTTCCGCGGCCCCGGGCACCACTCGGCTCTGATCCGTATCCTCCAGTCTCAAGATAAAGCTCCCTCCGTGCTTTTTGGCAAAAATATAGTTGTACAAAGCCGTGCGGAGGCCGCCCAAGTGCAGAAAGCCTGGGGTGTGGGGCAGAAAGCAGAGGAGTCGGGATACATTGGATGCCACGCGCCAAGAGGAGGAGGCTGGACACGCACCTGGCCGGGGTCGTCGGCCCCCGCGCTCTTCCCTGCCCAGGGCAGGGGGTCGGACTCGGCGACCTGCCGAGACCCCTCCTGACCCCAACTATGAACGAAAGACCTGCGAATAGGGGCTGCGATGGCCACACTACCGCTGAGGGGGCTTGAAAGCATCGGCCGCTCGCCCCCAGTCACCCTGGGAGCAGCGAGGAACCAGCTCGCCCTGCGGCCCTTCAAGCGCTGCCCGCACCGGGCGCAGAAGGCCTCCACGCTGGTTTCCGCCCGCTTCCCCGACGCGGGGCCGGGCCCGGGGTCAGCTCAAGGCCGCGCGGGGGCAAGCCGCCTGCGACCGTCTCCCG